TCGTCTCATCACAGGCGTTGGGGCATCCGAAATCCCCGTGAGAGGCTGGACTCAAAACTGGACCTCACGAACGCCATTTTTCTCGGGACAAGCGTCCCGAGATAACAGCAGAAAGGCAGATGGGAGATAATTAGCATAGCTGATGTTCATAATGATTTCCGTTATAACTCACAAACTCTCCGTAACCTGAACTCTCCGCAACCCAACCATACGCGCCGACCCGTTTGTCTAAAAGGCTGTCGAGCCCCACTGGTGCGTTAAGCAGTTTCAGTGGCAAACGGTTCCGTATGGCATAACAGAGGACTAGAAGGTAAGCATTATGTGAATGCTTGACTAAAGAGAAGCGTCTTTAATCTAGTTTTAAACTGTGTCAGCGAGTCAGAGGCTCGGACCGTATCGGGAAGGCCATTCCAGAGTTTTGGAGCTAAATGCGAGAACGCCCTCCCTCCTTTACTGGACTTCGATATCCTAGGAATGACCAGAAGCCTTGAATTTAGTGATCTTAAGGAACGCGGTGGATTGTAGGGCGAAAGAAGGTCCGTTAAGTACATAGGTGCTAAACGATTTAGGGCTTTATAGGTCAGTAGTAGTATTTTGTAGTTGATGCGGAACTTAATAGGTAACCAGTGTAGAGATGATAAAATCGGTGTTATATGATCATATTTTCTTGACCTAGTAAGAACTCTAGCAGCTGTATTTTGTACTAACTGTAGCTTGTTTATTGAGGATGCAGGACAACCGGCTAATAAAGCATTACAGCAATCTAGTCTCGAGGTCATGAATGCATGAACTAATTTTTCAGCATCAGAAACAGATAGCATGTTACGTAGCTTAGCAATGTTTCTAAGGTGGAAAAAGGCTGTTCTTGTAACATATGAAATATGATCTTCATGTAAGAATGTAAACCCATGTTGCCGATATGAACCATGTGTTCCACTCTCAAGAAACTCCTTGACTTGAGCACATCTTAATGAGCTCCATGCTCGGCGGACAGTGGTTTTCCACATGGCTGAATGGCCCATAGTCTCATCTATTTAGTGGTCAAGGCACCGACTTTCAGACCACATTTTAATGGAAGTCACGTGCTGATAAGTGACAGTCTGCGGATGCAGCTGCCAGGCCTCACTGCTTGTCTTGTTTGGTGGCCACAGCATTATTTTTCTCCATTCATCTGGGCACAGGTGTCACTTATCAGTCATTTAAACTGTATAATAGCTAAAATATTCTCTTGAATTATAATTCTGCCCTCATTAAGCCCCTTTTTGCTAAACAAAACTGACATTTTATTGCCTTCCAATTGAATCACACAGGGTGTGAGCATCAGTGGATACAAGAGGCATAATTTTGATTATGTATCAAATGTCCTTTATTGCATTGACAGCAATTGCCATTTCCAAAAGTATTCACTCTAACAATTTTTTTTATAAATATTATTAATTTATTGAACATTTATGAATTTAGCAAACTTATGCTCATGCTGAATATTAATCTATAAAGTAAAACATATTGTGGATCACATTATTTTGCAGGTCATTTAAATAGTCCAACTATCACGTTTGTGTCTGTTTAGATCTTCAGTTTGTTTTCATTCTCAGTCACGTCTTGTTTTCCCGCCAATCTTCAGTTACCATGTTAACCATTCATTAGTTCATCTTAATCACCTGTATCTTGTTAATTATCATCATCTGTGTCACCTGGTCATCTAGTGTTTGTATAGACCATTTCACAAGATGTAAACAACACTGGTCCAGAAGCACTTCCTGTTTCAGTTTTTTAACACTACATAAGAGCTGGGATAAAATACAACCAACAGAACATATAAAACTGAATCAAAAAGTTAAACAAACATCTTTAAGATGTTTTCTTTACATGTGAAATAAAGAAAACAGTTACAAACTGAAACAGGAAGTGCTTCTGGACCAGTGTTGTTTACATCTTGTGAAATGGTCTATAGACCTTATGCACCAGAGAAACGTGGGCGCCGTCATCTTTAGAATATTGTCTTTGAACTTCCGGTTTTGCGGTCGCTCTGTATATTTCTATGGCATCGCTGTCGAGGAATAATTAGCTGGTGAAGTGGATTTACTTATTGTAGAGTTAACAAAAGTTATCATGAGCATTGTAAAGCAGATGTCTAAACAAATGTCAACCGGGAATTTTTTTACGAGCAGTTCATTCATACCTATGCAAGATTGCTGTGAAAATGCAGAGCGGAAGTCAAAAGACAACGAGCGCAACGCTGAAAAGGGGCGGGGCTTCATAAGGTCTATTTAGTTCCTTCAGTTCAGTCAGTCCTTTGTCTGTAGATAGTCTTATTTTGTGTGTGTGTTCGTCCTGCCTGCCTGTCAGTACCTGTGTGAATTATATTTAGTAAATTGTGTAAATTGGAACTCTGGGCCTTGTTCTTCTTCTTCTACCCACACCACACCCGTGACGCAGGGGTATTATTTTTGTACAAATATTAATGCAATTAAAATTAAAGGCAGGTGACAACATGTGTCACAGGCTGCTGTGTATAATCCAATGAAAAAGAAGCGGGACACAGAATGAATGACTATAAGACTTTTTAATTACCACAAAGAGCAAGAGAAAACAGAAAGAGACAGGATGGTGGGAGGAGGATGAGGGGCTGGCACCAGGTAGGATGCAGGAGGATATGACGGCGGGAGAAGCCAGGGTGGTGATGATGGTGGGAGGAGCTAGGGAGGAGATGAAGGTAAGAGGGAGACCTAGAGTGCAGACAGGACGAAGGCCCCGGTGGAGTCGAGAGATGGAGGAGCCATGGTGGATCCTTGCCAGGGCATGACAGACTGAGACTGAGCCGATAGATCTGGAGACCGAGGCGGAGCCAGGTTGCCAGAGGACTAAGGCGGAGCCGGACAAGGAGCAGATTGAAGGCGGCACCCCACGGAGCTGAAGGGGTGAAGGGACAAAGTGCAGCTGAATGCCTGGTAGTCCGTGATGCAGGAAGAGCGTCATCTGTTCAAGGCGGAGCCCATCTGAGCCATAAGGACAATGCTCCCAGGTAGAGTCGTAGGAGGGAGGAGCCATGGTGGAGCCGACTGGTCGACAAACCAAGGTGGAGTGACTGGCTCGGTGGCTGGAGGCGGAGCCAGGGGATCTTCTTGCCAAGGCAGAGCTGGAGACCGGAAGACCCAAGGCAGATCCACACAGAGAAGAAGCCAAGGGACTGAAGTGAAACAGCAGAGTAGGGCTGGGGAACTGACTATTATAGGTAGAGGAGGTGGGAGAGGGAGGCTTGTCGAGATCTTTGGAGACACAGGGGACGCGGAGCTGGGCAAGACCAGCAGAGACACAGGAGACTTGGAGTTGGACTGGACTAACGGAGATGCAGGAGATTTGGAGCTAGGTGGGACTCTTTATCTGCGGTAGGTTCTGACATAGGCTCCTTGCATTTTTTGGGAGGCAGCTAGCTGGGCCCTGGATCCCAAGTGGGGGTGGTGATACCCTCCTCAGTGTGGAAGATGGTAGACACTGATCCGTTTTTCACGAGCACTCACTCCACAAATGCCGTAAATTCCTCTCGAGGACAGCCAGTTCTTTGTGTGGTCCTCAATTAAGCTCTCTCCCTGCTCCAGGCAGAGTAAACAGACTGCAGGTAAGTCCATTGTTTTTTGCCACTTCAATCTTGTCCTGTTATGGGCCACACTGTATAATCCAAGGAACAAAGAGCGGGACATGGAATTAATGAATATAAGTCTTTTATTTACCAAAAGAGCGAAAGGATACATCAAACAAATAACATAACAATAATACTCAACATGGAACTAAGGAAAACTCAGGGTTTAAATACACAGGGAGTTTTCAATGAAACAGCGAACAGGTCTAAAACACAAATCAGCAACCAAGGTAACTAAAAACGACATGAAACACTGCCATACAGAAACAGAATGAAAAGTGAAACTAAAACACATCAAGACCATTACACACAGACTGCGTTTTGAAACATTTTGCACATCACAAACGTCAGCCTGGTCTCATCCCCAAGGCATCATATAGGTTTTGACATTGCGTCTACATCCGACGCACATGGCACCCTTTAGCGTCACTATGAGACACAGGTATATATGGGCCAGAAGGCGCCTCCTAGTGGTCTAACCCTAACACTACCCCAGACCTAAACCCATAACCGAAGCGTGTGACGCTAGATAAGAGGGTGCCATGTGCGTCGGATTTTGACGCAATGTAAAAAGCGTCACCTTTATGACGCCCTAGGATGAGAATGCGTTGCAAATGTATATATTTTTGTTATTTATTGGTTCTGCTATACTACCAGGGCTAGTTGTCACGTGGGGAGGTTACAAGGCTACATCTCAATAACTATGAGGTTTTGATGTTGCACTTTGTTTTACAGTATGTGTACTTATGTGTATTTAGTACAGTGTATGTATTTAGTAAGAAAGTACTGGGTAATATAAGGAAACTACATGGGTTAGGGGTAGGTTTAGGGTTAGAACCTAGTTATTACCCAGTTATTGTAATAACTATAATAAGTACATAAGTGCATGGGGAACAGGACTGTAAAATAAAGTGCTACCGGTTTCTATTCAAACAGCAGTTACACAAACTGTCTTTTTTTCTAGCAGTGTTTTTGTATTTTGGTCAGCTATTCAATTGATGATTGATGATTTTAACTGAAAGGTTGATCTTTGTTCTCAGGACGAGGTCATTTTTTTCTATTCTTGGGCAATGTTATATTGATTTATTTACTTATAATATATAATAAAATATTTTTTTTCCTGGCCAATATGGTTAATATGTTATTTTTCTAAGACCAAATAATGTTTAGAAAGCCAAACATTTTTAAAATAAAGCTTTGTGCAGAGACTTACATGCATCTACATTTACCATTGAAGACATCATGGTAAATTTCTTGTTAACTGAGTTCAGACGGACTGATGAAGTGTGGGAGTTTTTCAGCCTCATATCCGAGAACTGACTCAAGTAGGCTACACAACGGCATCAGCAACGTAACTGGCTGGAATTATCGCCCATCCCAGAAGCATAATTTACTCGGGCAAAATATTTATACAGAGGCGGACCACAATCATTTACAACAAGTCCATTCACGAAACCGAGTGGAAACAACTAAAGGCGCTGTAGACTTAAAAAAAAATCAATATACTTGTAAGGAAAGCCGCTGGTTCAAACATCAGTGTAAAGTATTCAGCACCATCATGAACTTTCTGGCTGTTCTACACTGTGTGATACTTATTTCAGTTTGTGAAATACTTGGAGAACATCGAACGAACGGTAGGAGATAACGCATTTGACTAACGTTATATTTCGTCTTCAGAAGTTTAGAATACACTAATATTAACGTTGATCATATTAACACATTTTGTTATAGCCTTCTACGTTGGTAATAAGCAGACTTTTAATGGATTTTAAAGTAAATCGTTTTAAAGAAAAATCTGTAAAAAATAATGATACTCGATCGCACAGCTGTTGTCATGGTTACCCCGTCAAGCAAAGGCGATTTCTGTTCTTGAGTGCAGACTTGTAAGCTAAAGCTTTTGTGGTTATTGAAATATTTGAAAACACTAGTAAAAAAAAAAAAAAAAAAAAAAAAAAAAAGAAAAGAAAAAGACAAATTGTATACATTGATTACACATAGCCTAATATAAATATATAAATGGTAATTGAATTTATTGCATTTTCAACTTGGGTGACATACGCTAAAGATATTTTCAGGCACGACGTTTGAGCTATAAAACGGAAATATAAAAGTTGTATTTATTCTGAAAAATAATTATAGTTGAATAAAAGACTGTTAACACCCCAGAGTAAAAAAAAGTGTCCTGTAATTTTTTACACTCAAGATATTTCATGTGACATATTTTATTGGGCAAAAATATGACACATCTGAGGTAATCTTTATTTTAGGCATAAAAATAGGCTACTTTACAATCTCATATAAGTGAGAAGGAATAGAGAAAATACATCTGCGATATAGCCTAGGTTTTTATTGTCGCTATTGTCCCTGAGATGGATAATATATGTTTTCATTGTGTGTTTGTGTGTCTAGCGGGAATGTGCTGGCTGCAGCAGGGTCCGGAGCACCGCTGTGACATGGTGCTCATGAGGGGCGTGAGCAGGGAAGAGTGCTGTGCTGCTGGCCGTCTGGACACTGCCTGGTCCAATACCAGTCTACCCATCAATGAAGTCAGCCTGCTGGGATTCCTGGGAATAGTTTCCTGTAAGCCGTGTAAAGGTACAGACTCTTATTTACCCTATGTTCTTAGCAGGTAGACTGGGTTATCCCACTGTAATGTTCCAACTTGTTGATATCAGTAAGTGTCTCTGTGCTGAAGCCCTCTTGAACTGGGTTCTACCATTTTAAGCCTTCTACACAAATAAAAGAACATTCCTTGTTTGCAAATTAGGGCTGAAACCATTTTTGCTGAGGAGATAAAATCTAGCACTGTAGGCCAAATCTTGGTTTGGAGAGTTTTCTTTGCAAATGCAATTCTTCGGCAAGTTTAAAAAGAGTGGATCTACACCAGATGTTTTGTTTAACTTTCTCCGGCTGTTGTGGAAAGAGTTCACTACTGGTAGACTTGGCCAGGTACGTAGGTTCATATAAGGGCTCCAAAACTCTAATGTCATCAGACATTTTAAACACAGACAGTTATCACTGGAGTAAACAAGTTAGCCGACATGGTTATTTTAATGAATTTCCTCAGCCCAGCAAGCCCATAATTGTGCTCAAAATTGTAGTTTTGTGGTTTTTAGTCCATATCTATCAGTTTGAGGTAATCTGTATGATAGTGTACTCTTAAAATTCACTTTTAGCAGATAAGCACATTTAAAATGTATAGTCATCCAGAAAAACAGACCAAAAAAGTTCTCATCCTGCTTATTTGTTTCGTCCAATCAAATGCTCTCTAGAATGAGAATGACCTACCCACTGAAACATTTTGGGGCAAAAACCAAACCAAGCAGGGGTGCATTTCCCAAAAGCATCCCTATGGTCGCAAGTTCCGCCGTTATCAGCATAGTTCAATAGTCATAGTCGGTCTTTCCCAAACCATCGTTCCAACGAACATTCGCAAACAGCATTGCAAAATTGTGTGGTTGGAACGACAGCTCTCGACCTGTGGTTAGAAGCATAGTTTCTTGTTTGCATGACGTGGAGTTAAGTCAAATAAGCAAGCTAACCTTCAGTACAATCTATATATTTTATTTAGAACACATACGTAATTTACGTATTTTAGTTCGTCGAGATTTGAAGCATCATTTTTTAATAGTGCGCATGTGCGAACGTGCTCTAGTATTCAAGTTACGTTGTTGTTCGGGAAACGCACCCCAGATTGGTTGACCAACTTGAACCCATTACAAACTCTATTAGGAAACCTTAATACAACCTACTTCTGATTATCAATAGCGACTTGCAAATTCACGTTCATGTGGATTCCTATTGAAATGATTGGAATTTGCCAACAAAAATTCACAGAACAACAGTAAATTTGACTGCACCTTAAAACGACCTAATTCCGATTAGCATTAGCAAGTAGCAACTTATGGCCCATGACTGTGAATGAGGGACTGTTTACACTACACTGTTTTCAACTAAAAACGTAAATTATGCGTTTTGGTCGTTCATTTATGTGAGAACAGCGTTTTGGGTGGCCGAACGTTTAAAAGTGCACGTTTTTGAAAATGGGCTTTGAGTAATGTCTGAAGACGATGACGTCATGCACATGCGAATTACGTGTTCAGTCTATAGTGTTTCATCGCCATCTAATAGCCTGGCAGCAGAACACAGCGCTTTTAGTCGTTTTCGCGGAATCCGTGAGAATGGGGATCGTTTTTACAATGGTGTCGTCTGTACACAAAAAACTTCTCAATTTTAAGCATATCGTTGTCATGTAAGTGTACCCTTAAAGTAAAGTCTTCTCCCTCTCTCAACATTCAGTGTTTCCCAATTCTTATTGGAAAGCAGACTTGTTTTGCCTTTCCCTCTCAGAGAATACTGAATTCTAACACACCGCAAAGAAAAATGTGTGCCACATGCTGGAGAGGTCTGGTCCTCATAAGCCTCAAACACAATCAGCATCATTAGACACTTGTGGGGGAAAGATAGACTGGAAGTGAAAGTCTGTTATATTGTTTATTCCATTGCGTTTGCTTTCCATTGTCATAAAACTATATGGACTAGCGGACCTTACTGTGTGACCTCCCCAGCGTGTTCTCAATGTCAAACGCTTCAAAGCATTCCTGAAAGCTCAACTCACGCTTAGTGTCTGTCCGGCGCATTTCCTTACATTTGTTTTGTTTTTTTTTCGGGGCAGACAAGGCAGTTCGTAAATTATGTGTGACTGCCTGCGGATCTTGAGGAAACATAACAGGGTTATGCTGGGATTTCCAGTGGAGGTGGAGGTATCTGATTCGGCCTTGAGTGATTTAGTTGGCTTCACAGGGAAGGGGAGCAACAGGATATTAAAGAACTTGTAGGAATGGGAACCAGAAGCTGAATCCATTTCAAAGTGTTTCTGGTGTGTTTTGTTTGCTCTGGCTTCACAGATGAATGGAGAAGAATGGACATTATTTTGAAATCATGTCAATTAAATAGTTGACTCAGGGTCATTGAGCCCCAGGTTAATGGAGTCCTGTGTTATCTTGCTTTCACACTGCTCATACTTTACCTAGGGTAAACAATCCTGGGTATTCATAAGCTGACATTTCACACTGTACATTTCTAAACCCTGCTGTGTCAGTGTCATTGATTGGATGAACGCCATATATTACATATCACCGACTGTACTCTCAAAGGCAAGAATGAAAATTTTCCATCGCCGTTTGAAATCTTTCCCATCAAACATGAGATTGACTGTCAGTTGCTAAGCAGTCATAATGTTCTAAGACGCATTGTTTCACATTACACTTGTTCTGTAGTGTGCAATTCGGGGTTAACACTGCTAACAGTGCTTCATAGTCCTGCGTAAAAGAAGATAAACACACTTCTAAATTAAGTTTGAAACAAACACTTTCAAGATTGAAATAAATCCTATATGTTTACTTATAATCAGCTTTTTCCCACTTTATCCCCCTTCTTTTACAGAGAACTGTGAGGGGGTCAACTGTGGCCCTGGAAAGGTGTGCAGGATGAAGTCTGGACGTCCCCAGTGCGTGTGCTCTCCGGACTGTTCAAACATCTCCGCTAAACATGCCGTGTGTGGGAGCGATGGGAACTCGTACATAGACGAGTGTGCACTCCTGATGGCTCGCTGCAGAGGTCACCCTGACCTGGAGATTATGTACCAGGGGGATTGCAAAAGTATGCTTTTCAGCTTCCATCATTTTGCTTAGATGGTTTTCAGACTGAAGGAAAAGCTTCATATTTAGATTATTACTCAGATTGAATAATTATTTTAAGAAAGAAAGTGCATATTTCCCATATGTATTCTGAAAAACTTCCAACCAGGCCCTAGTGAAAAAGAAGTGCGCTTAATAGTATTGAAGTGAAAGGCCACTTAATTGTACTTAAAATGAAAGACTCCTATGCCTGGTTCAGATTACACGATCCATTTGACGTAGGGTGTCGTGGGGATTCGTAAACGACAACGGGCGTCGGGACGCAAGATTCGATCGTATCATTTCGTATAGTGTGTCATAGTGGGCGACAACGTCGCATCTGCGATGCTTCACGACAAAAAGACTAGCATGTTTAATTTTTTTAACGGTCGTCCACGACGGTTCCATCACATGTATGAGTTTGACCAATAGGAGCTCAGAAGCTTTTTCGTACAAAACCTTTCAAAAATGCCGAAACGAAAAGAGGCGGTATGGTGCTAACGTTAAAACTAAAAGTAAAAATATATAAGAAAACAATATTTTACCTCAAGTTCTCTTTGGAGTATTGACAGCCCATACTGTCCTCTTCGAGCTATCCAGGAACGTGTCCATTGTCGGGTTTTCTTTCTTTTTTTACTTTTTTACGAACACAGGACAGCCAATACAACACTCACCGCTTCATCCATTGTTTGTATACGTTCATTTCCGGAAGTCACACGCTACTAGTTTCGCCTTCTCGATGACATCACGCAAAGATGGCGTGATGGCATAGTATGTTTGGACCGAAGACGAGACAGAGTTCTTTATTAAACTCATAAAAGACAAAAGAATTATGGGAATACTGGATTCTTAACAACAACAAAAAATGTCACAATTTATCAAGACCTTGAAGCAGAAATGAGGTAGAAACACCCAGAAACACCTCATACGTGGCACTCCCAAGTATAACGGTGCTGATCCACTGACGCACCGCGCTCCGCTTTATTCCTATGGGTGACATCACGTGACTATCACGCCCGCAAAGCATTCTAGGAAGGTGGCGTTTCATTTTGAAAATTGTTGCGCGACAAAAAGCTGGCCGATGCGCATCTTTATGCAAATGAAGTCCATTGAACGTGACACGTCTATCCAATCGGAGTAGAGCATATGGAGACGAGGGAAGTCTCTCGCAGGTTCGCAGGTTCTCACATTTCCCGCTCGGTCAAAACCACGTCCATCCATAGCGGCAAACAGAGGAACCCCCATCAACGTACAAATGTAGGGAGGCGTCGCGACACCACACGACAGTCGTGTCGGACAAGTGGGTCAGCAGCGTGAGGGGCTTTCATTACCATTAATGCTTGGATAACACGCCTACGTCTCCTTCGATTAAAAACAATGGCTAGTGCGGTGGCTGCAATATACACGAAACTACCAACAGGTTGCCATGATTTTTGGAATGACTTATCATGAGTGGAAAAAAAATTGGTTTTAGTCACATAACATCAGTTAATGGAAACGCCGCCATTTCGCAATCTTGCAAAAGTTTTGCGCAGATCTGTAATGGAAATGTGGCTTATGTAAAAGAAATTGTTGGTTTAACTTAAAAAATGAAGTAACCTGGTTGCCTTAATTTTTAGTTCATTGAAAAAAAAAAGAGTTAATATTTAGAAGAAGATTGGTTTAATCAACAGAAACTCAAAAATATTATGTTATCTGCACTTTAATTATCTTCATGAAAATCATGAAAATACTTTTTTTAAGTATTCTACATGGGACCGGTGTGTGTTATATGTTTTTTCATCATTATCTTGACCCTTGGCACCACTGTTTCAGAATCCTGCTCAAATGTCGTATGTCCTGGTACACATACCTGTGTGACGGACCAGACCAACAGCGCCCACTGTGTCATGTGCCGCACTGCGCCCTGCCCGATGCCCATGGTCACTGAGCAAACCATCTGCGGCAATGACAACATTACCTACCCAAGCGCCTGCCACCTGCGTAGGGCTACATGCTTTTTGGGTCGATCCATAGGGGTTCGCCACTATGGACACTGTAGAAGTACGTATTCACACACCTGGAATTACTTGACCATTACGATATTTCCTCAATGGACTTGCTGAACACACCTTAACTTATGTTCTGTCTTACAGGTAATGAAGGAAGTGAGGAGAATTCACTCTTCTGAGGACGTCGAGAGAAGTTCCGCTCCATGTACATATTATGATGGCACATAAGACGTGAGAGAACCTGTTTGAAACCATATAGTCTCACAACACGGTCCTCTGTACCAAAGAACCACTACTAGTATTTTATATACGCATGCAATTCATATTTAAAGGAAATGTGTGGTTTTAACAGGAGAATTGATCTGATGAATTGACAGTGTGTATATTGTAAATATACTACAAGCTACTATTTATTGGAGTAAAATAATGAAGTCTGTTATTTATGTGTTAACACGTTTGAGACACCATATATACGTATACTTCAGCTGCCTTTATCAAGGTATTTATTGTGGGTTTTGCTTCAGTTTTCTTGTACATGTCAGAAGTGCATGATATATATATTCACAAAGAGCTATTCTTGCCAATTAAGTATTTTAGAAAATTTGTATGTAATGTTTTATATAATTTTTTTATTTAATTTATATTAAATTAATTCCCATGATTTTCAGCCATTGTCAGACATCTTTTTGACATCTTTTCTTTAAGCAAAAAACACACTAGCAAAAACGATGCCCAGAAACCAAGTAAGTACAGCTTTCCCAAAAATGTGCCTCTCTGCAAATTCTTATAGGCATGGGAGACTACTTACTCATTGAGATAAAGTGTTATGCGTGTAGTGTTTGCATTCGAGGGATTACTCAGCCAAAACAGCAACACTTCCAGGCCATGTTTCACTGAAGCGAAGGGCAAACTGAGCCACCCACAAAGCAATGAAATTACCAGGCTGCAGTATTTACGAGGACGCTGGGACAGTCAAAGAATGTACAGTACATTCTACTGTTTTAATGGTTTTTACATTGATTGCAGGGTTGTGTTTTTGTCATTTTGTGTGTCTGAGTTTCTATCACTTGACCTTGTTAAATACTTAAATACTAGTCATAAGAATACATTTAAAAGGTGTTTTGTTTAATTCCCAGTAAATCGTATTGTGATTTGAAAAAGAGACTGACGGATTGGGGATTTGTGTGTAAATCAACATTGTAGCTACAAGTTTGTTCCATGTGTAACCTTTCTTCTACCTTCTTGTAAATAGAGACCTTTTGCAGTATCATACTGTAAAATCCAATTTATTCAATTGCATATTTTTGTATTGTTTACTTAAATTTTTTATTAAAACTCAAAATTAATGTTGTGTCAATATGATTCTCATGATTCTTGATCAGTGTTATTTTAGTATCCTTGAGTTATATTTTTATTCATGTTTTGAATGTTTTTATTTTTACATTTTTCGTTTTCATTTGAATTTTAGTTTGTTTTAGTAATTTTGTTGTGTGTTTTTGTAATTTTTATGGAAGTTTTTTTTAATTTTTTTTGGAAGCTTTTTTCTGCTACGAAACAAGTTAAAAGGAAAAAAATATCTCATTTTCATTTAGTTTAACTTAATAACTATGGAAGCTTTTTCCCCCCACTTAAAAAATAAAAAAAAGTTAATTGCGAGTATTTATCTAAAAATTTTAACTTATTTTCTAACAAGTTTATCTCACAATTGTTTTTTCTCACAATTTAGAGTTTATATCTCACAATTCTGACATTATAACTAGCAATTAAGAGTTTAATTGTCACAATTCTAACTTTTTTACTTTTGTGGCAGAAACAAGGTTCCATAATTTTAGTAAATGTAGTTGAAATGTATGTTGCCATGGCTACAATCTGGAAAAAAAATATTTTTCAAATTTTTTATTTGAATTTATTCAATTTATCAATTTATTCAATTTATTTTATTTCAAGCAACAATTTTTTTTTTCAAATATTTTTTTTATTTTATTTATAAATGGTATTAGGTTTTATAAATGGTTCAGTCAACTACAATGATTCATGTTCAAGATTTTGGGAGCCCGCATCATGTGATTCCATTTGAGAAATTTATAAAACAATAAATCAGTTTTATAATAATAATTTGATATTAGATAAATAATAATACATAATACAATTATGACTTTTTGCAATTGATAATATAGAAATAAAGGTAAAATAAAAAAGTTATTTAGGGAAATTTTTCATATTTAAAAATTGACATTGAATTTATCTCTTGTTATCATCACTCAGTTGTGTTATTGTGAACCCAAAGAATTTACTCTCAATAGTCTAAGAATCTTTTTTAGCTTTTTCCCCATTATACAACATGGTTTTGGAAGGATTAGCCCTCTGTCTATGAGGCAGCCCCTCAACTAACAGTGGCAGTAGTGAGAAATCTAGGGGTTATTGACTCATTTTCCTGTCTGAAAAGCTCTCTTGTTTTTCCCCCTCTTTGAAAGGCTCTCCCGAATCCCGACTGAACTCCGCATCTGGTTTAACTTTGAGAGATGTTTATATTCTGATCCAGGGCTCTTTTATTACATTGGAACTGGAATTAATTGTTTGCTCTAACAGGCCATAACAATTCCATAAAAAATGTTTGTAACGCATTGTTTCGACGTCTCGCTTTTCTCCATTTCTGTTTGTCTAGAATGTTCCACAGTAATCCTGAGAGCAATTTACAGGCCTGATTTAATTTTCTTGTTATGACAGAAGGAGGTCGTCAGATGTTCAGCGTCTGAAATTATGTTTGGCTTTCTGTCCAAATAAGAAACAAAGTGCAGTTTGTTTGGGTGTTCAAGTAAAACCACACTGTACGCCACATAGGAGTAAGGTGATCTTGTTATGTCTAGCTTAGTCATTTTGCCAAATGAATTCATAGCTGATGTGACATTTTTAGTCAAAATTCCACCAGAGAATCACCACTTGTGCGTCATTTGTGTTATGAGTGGCGCCCCTAATTTGTTCATGGTGTGTCGTGACTCGTTACAGGCCGGACTGATTCAAAACGTTCAGGAAGTGCAATCCAGTGGGGTATCAAAGCATTAGTAATTATGTGTAGCGTGACACACAGTGCAGTAAAGTTAAGTGCTATATGTTGTCAGGATTGCAGTCTTTACTTCCTGGACAGGAAGGAACCTGAGGAAAGACAGCTGGAAACAGATTTCGATTGAGATAAGACACAAGCAAAAAGCAATTTGTCTATCCACATCAGATGTGACAAGGCTACAAGCAAAGACTTCAGATATACAAAGACGGTGCAGTTATATTACTTATGAATGAGAGAAAGTACAATGCGCGAAATAGTTCAACAGTTGGGTTCTGGAAGTAAAAACTCTACACTGCGCTTTATCTAATCAAAAAAATTGTGGCAACAGATTACAAGCAATATTATTAATTAAATTTAACAATAGGATTGAGTAATAATTAATCAAATTAATTCATTTAAAGTTAACCATTTAAAATGAGTAAAACTGTTTTTTAGAAAGTATGTTTAAGTCACCATTATGATGCTCAGTGTTTGTTTTAGGTTTGTTTTAAAATGATGGTTTTCTCCTTTAGTGATTCTGCTTGTTAACATCAGGTGTCTTCAATGTTGGCAATATAAAATAAATATAACATAAAATAATTCATCTTTGGCGTCTGTCTGTTATTCAGATAGTTTTGTTTAATTTTTTGGTGTAAACTCATTTTAAATGGTTAACTTTTAAGGAATATTCTGATTAAGTATTACTCAATTCTAATCTGTTCAATAATAAATATAATATCTAGGATAAAGCATATTCATTTTTACAATGTATGGGGAATTCATTTTTTTAATGATATCTGAAACCTTTTTAGACATCCCTATACTGTGAGATACGAGGTTGTTAATGGGTGGTATTTCCTTCTGTTAAAGCTGCGAGCCTGCATTATTTTAACTTATTTTTCAAATTCATGTTTAACAGTGGAATTTGTGAGAAAAACTACATTACCCATGATGCTGTATAGAAAAGTCACCAATCAGAGTCAAAACAAGCAAACCAGGCCAAAAGAGCTCATTAGCTCCACCCACTCCCATGAAGCACTGCAAATGAGTAATCAAGTATCCCTACACTCTCAGAATCCTTAAATAGTTGTATATTGTGTCTGAATATACTTCCATAGTAGGCAAAAAACAGCATGTGAGTAACATGTCCGAATTCATTCATTAAACAGTATAGGCGAAAAAGTACACGGGTCTACATCCAGCGAGATTCTGAAGTGTGCATTCAATTTTTCGAATTACATTATATGGAAATGCGCAGCTTGGACTTTCTGCAAAACATCTCCTTTTGTGTTTTACTTCCGAAAGAAAGTCATATAGGTTTGGAACGACAAAACAAGACATAGAGGGTGGGTAAATGATAAGAATGGTCAAAATTGTCATTTGTGCCTGAACAAATTGACCAAAACCACACGTTAAAGGTTAACAGGTGCAAGCAATTGCATTTTGCTTCAAGACAACAGTTTGCATCGGAAGTTAGGCAACCTCTAAATGTCCCGGTTAAGTGCGATGCAGCAAACCGAGCAGAGATGGTATCTTCTGACTGCCTGATCTCACTATTTCTCGCTGTGTGGTCTAAAACTTCAGTGGGGTTTGACTTTGAGACTTCAGGACTTGGCAAAATGATTCTGTTTCACTTAACAAATGATTCTATCTCAAATTAAAATTACACTTGCATCAATTTTTGCAAGAACAAATTATTCTATCTCAAATTAAAATTACACTTGCATCCTTTTCATCCTGAGACGATAGGTATAGCCTTATTTCCAAAGAAATCTCGGATTAGTACCAGATTCCTTGACAAATTTGTTTTTTGTTTTGGGAAAAGTAATGGAGCTTAATCATTTCCATTTCAACCTTGCAAGAAAAAAATCGTATTTTTTCTTGTAGTCTTCAGAAATGATTTAATGCCTCCTGAAAAACTCATTTTGTTCTCATCTGCCCATATGGGGTCTATTTTCTCTGAAATTCAGCCAGAGTTGGCTTATGATACATGAACAATCCACAGGACAGGCCCCCTGAGTTGACGTCTACAAATGTCGTGCACATGAGAACCACAAAAAAACATCCAGATCCATTTCGTCTTATCTGCACCATCAAAGTCATTACTTGTCTGAAGCAACTGTATTGTTTTATATGCGCTGATGCTTGACCAAGTCCAGTGGTGAGTTTCCCGAAAGAATCGTTAGCCAAATATGGTCGCAAGTTCCGTCGTTATCAGCATAGTTCAACGAGTCGGTGTTTCCCGAAACCATCGTTTCAACGAACATTCGCAAACAGCATCGCAAAGTTGTGTGGTTTGAACGACAGCTCTCGACCTATAGTAGAGGCATTTCTATATTGCATGACATTTGGACGTAATAAATTCGTATCTTGAGCAAAATAAGCAAGCTGATATTCAGTACAACCGGTGCCTTTTATTTAGAATGCATTGCATACAAATGTAATTTACGTCTTTTAGTTTATCAAAAGATTCAAAGTACCGTGTGAGTGCGCATGTGCGAACGTGCTCTACTATGAACGAGCCAAATATTGACTCTGGTAATAAAGCAAAATAAGTGAGAACAATTTGAAATAGTCCTCAGATGACATGTCTGTAATTTATATTAACAAATCTAGCGTTAATTGGATCTCAAACCGTTTCATTACAAGTGCGAAACCACCGTGGTTGAACGATACTTTGCCACAATGGGTTTCGGGAAACAGCCGTAACTAGCTAATTGATTTCTCCAACGATTCATGCATCGTACTATGGTAGTGAAGCTGTGAACTACATAGTTGTAGGGAAACGCAACCCTGGACTGGTACATTCCAACAGGCCGATAACAATCTAACTTCACCATGGCCATGAGCCACCAACGATGGACGTTTACAGCAGCAACAAGGTACACAAACAATAAATAAATCCACTCTGCGGAACAAAACAGGAGATGATTTGCACAATGTCAAACTCTTCCATTTAATGAAAGCGTTAGCTGTCGAGCTCCAAAAATAGCCACCAAGGTATCCCACACTCTTAAAAACAAAGCTTTTTTTATTGGCATTGGCATCTCTGGTTCCATTAAGAACATCCACTAAACCGATTTTGTTCAAAAAACAAAAAGTTTTTTTTCGCCTTTTGTACAATGTTAAGGTTTAGTTGATGTTCTCCATGCAACCAGATGGCAGTAAAATGTTTTAATTTTTTTTAGAGTGTTTGGGTTCTTTCGATTTTTTAAATGTTCTTCATACTAACAAAAATATTGTTCATTTAACTGTTTATTGAAAGGTTCTTTGGGGAACCAAAAATGACTTAAAAGCTATATTCTTCACTACAG